TACTAAAACTAAGTAAATATGGTTATACTTACAAGCTTAAGTGTCATTCTGAGACATTGGAAAAGGTTCCAATATAAGGCAGAGCGAATAAGAAGAATCAACTTAGGTAGAAGGATAAAGAGTTTCTAAAATCTGAAAAGATGGGAGAGTACTTTAGTATCGGTTTGTGATCATCTTAATGATTAAGAAACCATAGAGCAATTATTTCTCTAAGGAAATATTAATGCATTCTTATGACTAAGAAGAGGAACTTGAATTGTTGAAACGGTTATATCAAGAAGATAAGTCATACTTCGTTCCAATACAACTCTTAGAGTCATACTTCAAGATTGTAATTTTAGTGATATGTCTTAAAGGAGGTTTAAAAACACTTATAAAATGTACGAGTAAAAGTTTCCTACTCTTGTACATTTGACATTGGTAAGTTGTGATGTTTTGGATAAAACAAAGACCAACTAAGGCCAATTGTGTGAAGTGTTTGTCTTGATTAGAATCCATACTATCTCTTGGATGTTTGACAAGGGAGTCTTATAGGTCAAGAGGAAAGTGGGAGTCTTAAAGGTCTTCAAAGTTTCAAGAACTAATCAAGAATAAAACCTGAAGTTCTTTACTAGCACACGACTTGAGATTTATAACCTATCATGTTGACATATTCTGTGCCCATTCCAGTTAAAGTTGGCTTTCCATATGAGTTCTTAGAGTTCTCAATTGGTTGCACAACAACTTGGAAGCAATGGCAGGCCCTTGAGCTGCCAGGTGACAAGAAATCAAGATTGAGTTCAATCCATATGAGTTTGGATTTGTCATTATCCTTGTCTTGTGACTACGTTTTTGACAAATTCACATGGATAAGAACACATACACTAGTAAATCTAAGTGTCATAAGGTTTCTCTCCGATTCATGAAAATGATGGTGAGGAAACTCTTTCACTAAGTGGATTTTAGCTAGATAGAATTTGTAATATTTGCATTCTCAAAGTCGTTAGTGGAGCGTGTGTGGTTTACCGACACACTAACCTGGACTTGTGAGAAGTGGCAAAGGTCTAAACAATCAAGACTATGATTACGGCATCCCTTGTTCATAGTTCTTAAAATTGATTGGACACACAAGTGAACTATCTAAGATAAGGTGTATGATATTGATAAAGTTTTATCAAAGCAATCTAGTATCAGAAATCTAAACTTTGGTAAGAAAGTCAATAAAGTATTGATTTCTAGAAGTCCAGCCAATTTATGGATACATGTCAAAGCTAGTGGGAGCATAAGTGTTATGCTAATAATCATCATGTTATTGGGAGCATGGTAATTATGATAAGTATTGCAAGTTAGCAATATTAATTATAGAAAACAAAAGGTTTAAATTGGGAAAAAGTTGTTTTGCTATAATTAAGGGAGAGGAAATTATACTTCATCTCAAATCTAAAAGTTTTGATTGAGGTTTTAATCGTATTTAGTCAAGGATATATATATATATATATATATATATATATATATATATATATATATATATATATATATATATATATATGAATTTCATGTTGGAATGGCTCAACATAAGGAAATTATGTAAATGGTCCCATTATTTGCGTTCTAAAATTCGATTATGATTACGACATCCCTTTTCAAAATCTGAATTATGAGAACTTGGCAAATTGAAATGGAAATATTATAGCAAAAGACTGGTTTAGTCTTATGTGAGACATCATGAATCGTGTCCCATATGCTTCAGAAATAGGATCGATTACATGTGCTATATTCATCCTTTCTAAAAATTTCCAAATGCCCGGGGCATTAAGAAGGAAAACGGTTTAGAACTGGATATGACTAAAAGGATTAAACAATTGTCGATGACAATATAAGGTTTACCAAAGATTGGGTGCAAAAGGACATTTGGAAGTATAGTGATAATTCTGGAAGGACCATATTGACATAATTTGTAAGGAGGTAGCTCTTGTTCAGAAGTGATAGTCAAAATGGAATCTGGAAATGTTTCAAAGTTAAAATTTTTCAATCTATTTAAGATCAGTAAACTTAATGCAATAAGGATGTTTCTAAGGAGCTTATCTCCTTTGGAATTCTTTGTAATGGTTGTTGTAAAGGCTTTCTGACTTCGTGCATAATCATTACAAGAGGATCAATGCATATAAGTTTAGAATCTAACAGATTTCAGTAAATCACATGAATTTGGAATTGTTGCATTTGCAGTAAGGATTTGGGACTATGAAAAGAGGATCATTGGAGTTATGTTAAATTGATCTAGTTCACAAAGTAAAGATCATAGACAAACATAGTATGCATACTTGGTGTATGGCATGACTAGTGTTTAGAAAACATAGTGTACATGCTTGGAGTATGGGACAACTATTGTTTTAAATTCAAGAATAAAGTTGATAGCTGAAACAATATACAATGAATAATGTGTAATCATATGGTGATAAATAAAAGGTGTTTTATTTATGTTCATAGGTTTTGATACCATATTGGATTCACTTATTATTGTGTCTCATTTTGCGTCTTTTGACTTCCAGAATAAACTAGGTTATTCTTCTGGAATGACTGAGTTATTCAAACCAACCACAGTCGGTCATATGTTGGAAGTAGATATGAATCAAGACTGTCATGGGTTGGCTTGTAGAGGTCTAAGGTGTTGGACAAAGGGCTACAACACTCATGAGTGCTCATAAGTTCTGAGTATTGGATTCAACCCGCGCTCATTGGAGTCACTTCATGGATTTTATCACGAGTGATCATGAGACGATAATATATTATATTCTTCAAACCTAGAGATATGAGTTGTTACTATGAGTTGGTTGTACATTGATTGCACAAAAACGCATTCGGTAACTCGGTGTTATAAAACGTGCCTTTGTGTATGATTCAACAAGTAGCAGAACAAGCCATATGAGTCGAGGTTTATCCATTCCTTTTACCTTCGGGATAAAAGTGATATCAGTGGGACCCTCGATGATTTAATGATGACACATGTGAGTGCTTGGCCAAGCCAGGACTGATTTGATTTGTTCAATTAGTCAGTCTTCATGAATAGGAAATCAGGAAACAACAAATGGATTGAGAGAATGACTATAATCCATGTCTCAGTCCATATGATATCTAGAATGGAGGAATATATGATCCCATATCTAATGGACAAGTTCGTTGACAAGATCAGAGTTTGACAGCGGCTTTAAGAGCTATGATTGCCAGTTAGGTTTTGAAGTCGTACTCAATAATAGTTACAGACTTATCCAAGTGGGAGAATGTTGGATTAATGTCTAAGTCCATAACTATATTTGGTATGTACTTGACCCGACCTGGCATGGTCCATTTGGGTTGCACTTCACCAACACAATTTATATGGATAGTCTTTTGAGAATAGTATATTTATGATTAATATTAATATATTATAAGTTCTAATATATTAATATGGAATCATATTATTTAATTAGTATTGATCAAGAATTAATTTAGAATTAATTAAGTGATCAAAATGAACTAATTAAATATGGACTCTTATATATATGGAATGGGCCAAGTTGATTTAGGTTGGGCTAAGCTTTCATGGATAGTCCATGGAGTGTTTAACCCATGGATCATATGAAATGAAAGGTCATGGGTTTAACCCTAGTCTCCATACTATATAAAGATGTCATTGGTTGGTGAAATTGGCGCTAGTGTGGTACACTAAGAAGGGCTAGCCGATTTCACTAGAGAGAACCAAGTATCCTATTCTCTAAAGTCTTCCAAGGTGTTTTGGTGATTTGTGATTCCACTTGAGGCTTCCACACTATTGGGGCTAAGCTCTTAAAGCTTGAAGACATCAAGCTACATCCAAAGGTATGTAATCTAACTAGTACTTTGTAGTATAAGAACTTCATAATATGCTAGTTAGGATTAAAACCTTGGAAATTTCTTATTTGCATGTATAATAGAGAAAACATAGATCCAAGGTTTATAGGGTTGCATGTACACCATAGGAGTGTTAGAATGCTCAAAACCCAACAATCACTCTATAGCATCTCATGATAACGGGCCTTCTTCATTTCCTCATTAGCTGCGTACTAAGGAACAAGAAGAGCCCTCTCTATAAACTTGGCGGTAATCTCCGCCACTATATCTGTAGTCTGAGTAAGGTCCTGAAACTCTCTGGCTAACTGTTACACCTCAATAACCAGTGCAAACACGGCTCTGAACCTAGTAGTAAAATCAGCCCAAGTCATGGAATCAAGTGTTGTGTCACCCCCGACGACATGCCCAACCTCCTCCTACCAATCTCGTGCCCTGTCCTTCAGAAGGCAGGATGCTAATCTGACCTTGTCCCCATCGGGACATCTGCTAGTGCGGAACACATTGGAAACATCTACCAACCACCTAGTTCTCCCAATGGGGTCCCGCACCTCTGGAGCTCCACAAGCCCGAAACTCCTTGAAGGTGAGTGTGCGCGACCCCATCATGGCTGCCATCTCAGCATGGAACATGCTCAACTTCTCATCCATCAACTCTAAAGTACCCTACTTGATCGAACCAAAGATCAAAGGAGTCTGCTCAGGTATGATATGGGTAACCTCTAAAGTGAAAAAATCCCTAGTCTGCTCATCCAGATGCTCGTCCTGCGAGCCTGATCCTGATCCCTCCCCGACACCTGAACTGCCGCCTGCTGGTCTAGGATGTAGAACCACCATTCTGAAAACACATCATGATAAATGTCAGAAACACTGACATATCTTGAGGGATCGCTACTACTACAGGCTTCCTGGTCTCGCCTCGGCCTCCCTTGATTCGAGTGCAGATCCTCTGCTTCCAGTAGTATGGGCCCATACTACCTTCCACATATATTCGTACTTTCTACAAGAACTGCCTTGACTCCTGTAACACTGTAAAATTTAAAACAAATTTTCGCCTTTTAAAACAAATTTATTAACAAAATCCCATTGAATCATAACTTTGTTTCACAAAATTGTTTCCCAAGATCAAAATACATAAATCCCATGCATGTGTACAAATCATGTCGGCGCTTTCCCACGATCATCAGTGGTACCTGAAACACATAGCACATAACACTGTAAGCATAAAGCTTAGTGAGTTACCCAAAATACCACACATAACACATATTAGCCACTCGAGGCTATAACTCTGTGGGCCCTTGGGCCCTAACTCTATGGAGCCTCTGGTCCTAACTCTGTGAACCTTCCGGTTCTAACTCTGATAGACTCTGATATACACATGGCATAAATCACATAGAAATAATGCAGTGCAACACATCACATAAATAGCATACAATAACTTTGTCACCTGACTCTAATTACCACTCAAGGTAAAGTATAGTGAGAAGACTCACCTCAGATGTCTCGGTAAATCTTTGACTCGGTAGAAATATGATCTAGCATCCACCTAATCACATAAAGTAATACTCTCATAAATATACACTACTAGAAAAATAGCCTTTTACGATGCTCATTGCGTGTCATAAAAGGCTCAGACGACGCGCAAATGCGCGTCAAGGAAGGCCCTGTCATAAAGAGAGACGACGTGCATTTACGACTCTCATTTACGACGCGCCATTAGGACGCGCGTTTACGACACACAATGCGTATCAAGGAAGACCCTGTCATAAAGGAAGACAACACGCATTCGCGTGTCGTAACCTTACGACGCGCATGTTAATGGCACGCAATATGTATCAAGAATGCCCTTGTCAAGAAAGGCCATGTCATAAATGAAGATGACACACATTTTTGCGTATCATAATTTTAAATGTTTAAAAAAAATATTATTTATAGATTTACTTATTTTCAAATTAAAATTGTATTTAATGTTTCATAATAGAAAATAAAATATCATATACAAAAAATAGAATCCATTGCATAAATTTAATATCATACAAATAATCATTCTGGAAAGATAAAACAAATCAATAAAAGTTGTAACAAAAATTTAAAAACTAATAGTTCTAATAACCTAATGTGTGCCCCACTATAAACAAGATTTCTGCTGATTTTTTTAAATGTGTGCCTCACTTGTCTCCACTCTTCCTTAGTAACACCACTCAAGGACTCTAAATGTATGAACTTGCTCAAAGTATCTATATTGCCTGCAAAAAAAAAACATAACTACAAAATAAGTGTGAAGATGGATTATTACAGTGTAAGAGAAGTAAAGAACCTTGAGCTTTCTCCAATGGGACACATGGGTAGTCAGACTTGATACACTTCGCAACACGTATATCTCCCAATGCAAGATCAACATTAAGGTAATGGGGAACACCATCACCTGAAATCATATAATATTTATACAGCCCTAGACTAGATAGAGCTTTGCTACAAATAGCAACCTACTTTATTTACTCTGTTTACCAAACCAATGTATGGGAATGGAACCTACTTTACTTTACTCTCTTATGGTATATGAATAGGATTAGGATTGGTTGTGTTTGCTATATTTTGGTAGAGGGCATTCATTCATTCATTCTCATGTTTTTTGCACATAGAAGACATTAGATTTAGATGAGAGCTTTTTGGGTTTGGATGATAGAATAAAACTTAATAAATGAATGAATGAATGAGGATGACCTTTGATCTAGACTGAAGATCTGGATCGGTACTTCGAGAAACAAGCCTAGCAAGTGGAAGCATCTCATCAATTTCAGCACGTGGAACCTCAAGCCTCATTCTCCAGCGACCCACAGAAGATATCACACTCCCTAAATGACCAGCCCCTGTGGTATTGAAAAGCTATTGATTTCAGAGCTTCTACGTGTTACTACTTTTAGGAAAGCTTCTACGTGTGGAGCTGGTGGTGCAGCTCCTGAGAGAATAATGTGTACATTACCTCTTAGTCCCTATTTTATCTGCATAAATGAAAAAATGATGATTTTACCCTTGTGTTTAAAAGTCATGTTGAAGATATAGAAGGTGATATAAGATGATGTCATGTCACACACCTTGCTGAAGACAATTTTGTCACTTAATGGAGATGCCTCTGGATGTTTTTACCTCCCCTCATATTACGTAACTTGCTGCACAAGTTTAGTATGCAAATTATTTTGTGAAAAGCAAATTTAAAAAGTTATGTTTTTTTTTGTAAATTGCACAATACTTACTATGCATAAGCAAGACTAAACAATTTGCTTTTGAGAAAACCCCCAGAAGAAATTTTCTGTTGCAAACATAATAAAAATAGAAGGAATTCAATTCATTAATTAAATAAGGGAAAATTATGTTTTTTTATTTGCACAATAACTAACTAACACAAAAATACCTGAATAAATCCTATCCAAGACACGAGGAACAACACAGAACATAGTAGGTTTTAGCTCCCCTATATCTACAATCAGCAATTTAACATCATGTATATATAGAATAATACAAATTATGATATGATTCATATGAAATTAATTACAAATAAAATTTAGTAATCTTCTTACCCCACGTCAAAATCCTATAGATGCTCCATGATTAATAAAACATTCTTCAATCACCCGATCAAATATATGTGCCAAGGGTAGAAACGAGAGATAAACATCATTTGAATCCAACTAGAAAAAAATTTATCATTGTTAAGTATAAAATAAGCAGAAATTAGTAATCCTTTTTCATGTTTATTCATTATACATCAAAAACTCCAAAGTTTTATTTGATATACATCCCAAAGCTAAAAGTTTTATTCTAAAAGCTTCAATATTTTGTTTTTTTATATTCAAATAATCAAACACGAAGTGGGAACTCACTGATGCATCTGCACTCCCTAGCAGACGATGAACACCAGCTATAAGTGTCACAATACTGTTATTTCAAATTAGAACACCTTTTGGATCACCAGTTGTCCCACTAGTGTACATTATTGTACATATGTCACTTTTCTTCTTCAGTGGGAGATCAAACTGTTTATCATCACCCTGCAAATAGATAAAAGGGTGTCAAAAATCAAAATTGAATTATATTTCACATTTACACAAAACCCAAATTTAATATTGCAATTTAAGAGATATAAGAGCATACCAATGACAAGAACTCCTCCCATGAATGTATTGCTACACCAAAACCTTCACGTTGTTCTTTTTGTTCAGGGGCAACTTTGCCAAAGCTCAGAATTGTTGAAGTAAAACATATAAATTAGTACCTGTAATTATTTATGATTGTGTTCAAGAAACTAGACATGATGAGTAACTTACTTTTTAGATACTCTCCAGCTTTCGGAAATGTTTTTAGCACCTAAATGATAAAAAGAAATTTATTTCTAGGAAAGAAATTTAACTTTATGCTAAAAGATTTGTTTAACTATAGTTTTATGTAAGATAATAAAATGAATATGATTGATTGGATTACCTCAGGGATCTTTTTAGCTTCTACAAAAGCAAGTGTAACCTCAGCATGGCAAATGATGAATTCTACTGCACCCATAGAAGATATCAGTTGGTCGGGCTATTGATTTCATAGTGCATTTCCGCAAACAAGTGCCAAGTAGCCCCTCTTTCTTTCATTGTACACAACTACAAATTAGTCGATGGTTGAAATAAAAATTCTATGACTTATCGATAATTTTCAGATTGAGTTTTCAATTGAGAAAGAAAATAATTTTAATCCAAACCCACCCACCACCCCAATCCAATTACTGATCTCTTAGACCTTATCTTTAATTGAGTTTTCAATTGAGAAAGAGAAGAATTTTATTACTACATAACACAACAAATTTGTGTAGGCAACTTAAGAAACAAGTCACAAACCTTATTTTCCGAGTAGTCTTTGCAGCACCTGTGGTATTGACAAGCTCAGCCTCCAACTCCACCCAAAACTTTTGACCTACACCAGTGTATGTGGAGAGGAGTGACAGGTATTGTATATGATACTACAAATGGTAAATCCAGTGGCACGGTGTACGTCCTCTGTTATCTTCTTCCAGACACCAATGTCTCCCATCAACACACTTGGTAAAATTTATAAATATGGATATTGCATATGCAGTACAACTTGCTGTTGCTACTGGTTACTATCTGCATAATTTTTTTAATTATTTTAAATAATGAAATCAAAACAGATGGGAGTTTGTTTTAAACATAAAGAGAGGAATAAAGTTTACTTATTTCTGTTGGAAATATTTATGGCTTCTTCTAAGCTGTCGGCCTGAAAAATAAAAAAGGTGAAATTACAAAATTAGCCCTCAAGAGAATGAACATAATCAGTTAATTAAGTATTATATATATAGAAAATATTAAAAATATAAGCAAAGTTTTAAATACCTTTACTGTTTTCTCAAAACTGCAAGAATATGTTGGCACTGATGACTTTGACCTTCTTAAAGGTTCTCTCAATAATGTTCCATGGGTTTGGATTGGAGATGATTTTGTAACTGTTGAAGCTCTTGCTTTTGATTCACCTGTAAAATACAGTCCATACTTGTATGTTGTCCCATCTAAATTATCTATTTTCAGAGATCTGTTGAGTTTTGTCCTTTGTGTTCTAGAAGCTGTTTCAGACTGTCAATCAGAGAGATCAATGTTTAAATGGATGTATTACAAGTTTGCAAGAGAATCCATGGTCATTCATTATAGATAATTACATTAGGATTGATACTAATTTCATGGACTACCTCATTCTGGAGGAATTTGGTGAAGAACCTCTTAGCTTCAATACTGTCACCATAGTTTTAACAATTTCATAATTTTTTTTTCTCTCTTTGGCATTTCTACAAACACTTTATGTGCATATTTCTTAAGCATCTTCTGAACCTCTACAACCCAATTGTTAGCATCATTCTAGTCAATTCCTTTCTTAGCAACCTCTCTGACTTCCTCTCTTGGTGGATCCAACATTCCAACCTTAAAGTAAACAAACAGGAACCCAACATTTTTGCTTTCTGATACAAACTTGCGTTGTTCCTCAAACATTAGTTTATGAAGAACTGTTACAATCATACATCATACAGACTAAGCTTTTTCCAAGCAGGTCTGAACAATCATAATATAATCACAAAATATGTAAATAAAGAAACAAAGATATACAAACAGAAAAATAAGGATTGTGGTACATGTTCAGCCTTAATCACATGTCAATCGGAGTTGAGGGCTTTGAGAACTGGAATCGGACCATATTTGAGCTGGTTGACCATATTTTTTATGACATTTGTGTGCATAATACTCGAAATTCAGAAACCCTAGATGTATAAACAATGCTTCGTGAACCCCATAGGAAAAGATAAGGAACTCATAATTCATGTGTGTTTGTGAAGGGGGGGGGGGGAACGAAAGAGTGCTAGAATCGAAGTTTGTTTTGATAAAATACAAAGATGATGATGGCGATTCGTTGACTATATCATGTACCTGTGAGCTCAGATTAGCTGAATCGATTGCAGATGGCCTTGTGCTTCCAGATAAAGAACCCTATACCTAAAAATTCGACTTATTTGGGGTTTTTAAATTGCATATTGCCGAGGTTACCGCTGAGCAGGAACCACCATTGTTAAAAGAAGTAGAAGAAGACGAAGTGGAAGAAGAAAATCTGGTTGAGATCGAGAGTATTGAAGTAGAAAAGAACGGAACCCATTCCGATTTCGAAAGTGAACAAAACCGAAAAAGTAATATGAAAAAATATCCGATGATCCAGAGTTGAAATAAGTTGAAATGGAAGATTGATTGTTTGAATTCGCTCAGTTATTTCGAACCCTCGCACGTACTGGGTTGAGAGAAAACGAGAGAAGCGGAAGCTTGAAGGAAAATAAAACCCTAGCACATGCTAGAGAGAAGGGAGGTGGAAATGCCTTAGGGTTTACAGAGAGACGGGAGGTAGAGAATAAAGGGAGGTCTAGAGGAGAGAGTATCAGAGAGGGGAGAGTGGATTGCAAGGATGAAAGATAGATAGAAGATAGAAAAAACAAGGCGGGTTTTCAAAATTTTGGGGATTTCGTTTCCCCCCTTGTCTACTAAAAGCGCGTTTCATTAAAATTATAAAGTGACAGGTACAGACGACGCGTGTTTAAGATAAAGTGCCCTCCGTGTTTTAAATTTTTTTCTTGAGGCACTAAATTAAGGGCACGCAATAATGCGTGACGTAAATCCTTAAATTTTTTGGAGAGATAGCACTATTTTAAGGGCACGTCCTTTTGCGTATCATTAATCAGTGCATGTCGTAAAAAGCGCATCATTAAAGGTCTGTTTTCTAGTAGTGATAACTCTCAGGACTAGACTCAACCCTATCTTGGCACCCTCAGAAGGGTAAAAAACCATTTTACCCCTCCTTTGACTCAAAGGCCCTCATTGTTGAGCAAACCCTAAAAGTCAACCAAGTCAATGGTCACACTTTGACCCGAATCATCGAGTGCACTTACCCAACTCGCCGAGTCTACACGTGTCCACTAACTCCCTAGTCTTGCTTGGCATGTTGAGTCCCTCCCCTTGATCGACGAGTCACACCCGGCATGAATCGCGAGGCTACCCCGACTCAACTCGCCGAGTCTCAAGAACAACTCGGCGAGTTCCGCCTTGAACTCCAGTCCTCTAATCCCTCTCTGACTCACTAAGTTATTCCCCCAACTCGGTGGGTCTACTCGCTAAGTGATTTACGGGAAACCCTAACCCTACTCATCGAGTTTTCCCTTGGACTCGGCGAGCTCATGTCATGCACAAACTTAATTGACCTCCTGAGGTCAGATCTGTTCCTTTGGTCCATAGATCTGACCTTCCCAAGCCTGATAAACACGTAAAGCTCGAATCTTGACACTCATGGGATGTCTAAAAGTTTCCACTTGGTGATTTAGCCCCAAAAATAACATCCTAAGTTCATGGATCCCAAAATAACCCATAAAGCTCCAAGGGTTAAGGTCTCTGGACCTCTTTGAGTCCATATCCAAAGCATAAACTCGAGAAGGGACCAATTGCTCCACATATCCATTCTCTAAAGGGGTTAGAAAAACCCTAACTCTAAGAATCAACACCAAATCTGAAGAAGGTCAAAATAAATACATCAAGATGAAGTCTCTGAACTCTGAAATCACCAGAACCGCCCCTCTTTCAGCCTCCACTTGCCTTGGTCACCTCCTTCTTGCAATGACACCAACAAAATGATCAAAATTGGCCTCTCCTTCCTCATAATCGCTCTAGATCTCTTAGGGTTTCTCTCTGGGGTTTGGTAGCCGCAAATGACGGCCCTAAGGGACTTTAAATAGGCCCAAACCCGGGAAATTAGGGTTTCATTAAGCAGTGTGGACTCGCCGAATCCAATCATGAACCCGGTTGAGAATCCGCAACCCTACTCGGCGAGTCTAAGCACCAACTCGCCGAGGCCCTCCACACACTCCAAAATAAATGAATAAAATAATCTACCTGGAAATCCGTATGTTACAACTCCACCAAGTCACTGCTACCGCTACTGATCTCTATTACTCTCATCCTAGGCTCGCCCTAGGGAAATCTCAGACTCAACCAAAAACCAGTCCTCATCTGCTGAAGGCCTCCTTGTAATGCCAATTAGTCATTACCTGAATACCACCACATGTGACGAGGCTCAGATAAACCTTCGATTAAAAGACTTTTTCCTACAATGGTTGGACTCAAACAAGAGCTGCACAGTAGGGCCAAATCCAACACTCTGAGATTATCCAACCCTGATCACATGTGATGTGACGTATTCACCTAATTGCTAACTCCCATCACTTGGAGTCCCACAAAGCACAAAGCAAGCATCATTCGGACACAGGAACTAATCAAGCAACTCTATTTTTGTAACAAGAAATTGTACTGGCATACAATGCTAAGCTCACAATATCAAGCATAATCTAATCAGGCTATCCTACTACTGTCTACTTAATAATAACATGCAATTCTTATAAGGTTGAAACACATATAGCAGGCACATAAGGCATCTCCCTAGATGCTTAGTCCTATTCTAGCACGTTGTTCTACTGTAACTGAAACAGATAATCATAATGTAAACTTTATGGGTAATCTAGGAGTACTTACTTGAGCTCGGTTGATCGCATGCACCACACCCTTTTATCGTTTTCAAAATTCTTTTCTTTTTAAGTTTTTTTTTTCAAAAATTCTTTTGAAAACATTTTTCTTTCAAAAATCTTTTACTATTTCCTTAGTTTGAGTTCAATCATAGTCATAAGTGTGCCTGAATCCCTCAAACTAAGGCTCTGATACCAACTTGTAGCATCCTAAATACGACCCAAAAAATTTTGTTTAAATAATACTAAGGTTATCAATGATTTATAATATATCATGAAATTATACGTCATAAATCACAAAAAGTTATAATAGATGTGTCATAGAAAAAGAACTATAACAACATAACATAGTATCTGAAATAAACTCCCAGGACAAAAGTTGAAGTTGTGGTGTGTACAATGCCATCATCCCGAGCTCTTCCCTTTGCTTGCGGAAGTACCTGAAACCAAAACTGAAATT